CAGCCTGGTTTATTACAAAGTTCCCAGGCTAGCCAATATTGAGGTCAGGTCTCAAAAACAAAGAATGGAAAATAATTTGCTCTATTTATTTCCAGGACTCTTTTCATGGATCTGATTATATTAATTACAACATCACCCATGATGCTCTAATTACATCTGGGTTCTTCTGATCTATGCATTAGGCATGAGTTAAGCCTTTTAGGAAAAATACATGTCCAACTACAGGGTTAGTTTCATTAAGTGTTCGTAAACACAGTGGGCGATGTAGAAGCTTTTCCCAGATGCTTGTAAGAGGGAGTAGTTCTTTTTCTGTGCTCCATAAGGCATGCTGTGCTGTGTCTTCATGTGTAACCTTGACTGGTGAGCATGTTCCTTGGAGGCCTCTTGACAAGGGACGGGGGGGATTTGCTGACAGAGCAGTTCGCTTAGGTCATTTATGTCATCACTTCTCCAGTCCTGTGTTCTCAATTGTGATTCCCATCTTTGTCCCTACGATAAGCTAGTGTTCATCAGATTGTATGTGCTCAGGAGGGAGTTCCCCTGGCATCCAACCTAAATGCAGGATCTGGCACAATAGGCTTAGGTCTCTCTACTGTCAAGTGAGAGTGTCTACTCCAGGCATTGACTAGTGGTCCAGGAAACAGAGCAGAACTTCTTGTTTTCTCAGGTAGCACCTGCTACTGGGGACACCAGAGGTATAGTGATGTCAACAGGCAGCAGGTGTGCCAGGGATGTCCCCAATAGCCAGTTAAATAACTTACTGGCATATAGTAGACTCTAAAAGTTACTCCATGTCATCATAATAATTTATTTCCTACTTCTGTTGTCAGAGCCCAGTTCACTTCCTACAAGGGCAAACATTGCCCAGCATTATTTGTTTGTTTTGTTTTGTTTCGAGATAGGGTCTCTCTGCATAGCCCTGACTGTCCTAGAACTCACAGAAATCTGCCTGCCTCTGCCTCCGAAGTGTTATGATAAATACATTTTAAATAGACATCGTGGCTGTCTTGTTTTCTACCCTTTCATAAAATGAATGACCATCTGCTTCTTAGATGTGGCTAACCTTTTATTCTACTATGTTCATGTGGCGATTCTATTCCCATTGAAGAGTTGAACATCATATTCCATTTCTGCCTTAATTCAACTTATCTTTGGGCTTCACTCCTATGGAGGTCTGCAATTGGGGCTGTTGTAGTCTAGTTTGGGAAAGCAGAAATAGAGATCCAATGGGTTAAGAGATGACTGCCCAATAATCTAGTTGATACAAGACTTACATAGAGGTCTAGCTTTCCCTTGCCCATCAACCCAGAGTACTGGATTCTGTTAACTTCTAAATTATATATATGCATGTAACGTGCAGGTGATGAAGCACTTAGGATCAACTGGATGTATGAAGTGAATTTGTATCATGTTAGCATTGCTGCTTAAGACAAGTATCTTGAGCACAGCTCTGTGAAGCCCACTTTGTATTCAAGAATCCATCATGGACCAGTAAAGGCAATGTCTAGGATAGACGGTCTACTGTCCTGCCACATCACCAGGCTTTGCTTTGTTTCTTTCCTTGCCTACTCTTCTTCCTACTTTAGCCCAAACTATATCACTTCTATTGCCTCTGCTTGCATAAGCTCAATTTTTTTTCTTATTTTTGCCATAGTCTCCGATTCTACTGGGCTTCTCACTGCTGTCTTTGTGTCTCTGTGTGTATGCTGAATGCTTTGCCTTTAGGTCTCATTTTAACCTACTGTTTCTTTTTCTATTTTTTTTTTTTACTGTCATTGTTGTTTTTGGGTTTCTTTTTTTTTGTGTGTGTGTGTGTGTGAGTGTGTGTGTGATGTGTGTACAGGTGTCAGTGGGAGGCAGAAGATGGCCTTGGATGCCCTGGAGCTGGAGACGCATTCAGATGTGAGCACTGGGAATAAACCCTAGTCCTCTGAAAGAGCAGTCTGTGCTCTTAACCACTGAGCCATTTCTCCTGCCCTACTTCTTGTTTCATTAGCACTTGAGTACCCCCTAGTCTCAAAGACCTGTGTGTACCTCTGAGCTCCCATAACACCGCATCTTAGGTACATCCTGTTGGGGCCATAAAAGTGGCTCTGCTTCATCATATAGCACTCTCTATGGTAGAGCAGCCCCTTGGCAAAGGACAGTTCCCTGATAAATCTCTAATATTTAGTCAAGGATCTGCTTTATAGTAGGTAATTGAAATATTTAAGATAATATTTAGAATAAAAGATGCCAAGCTCATGCCTTTAATCACAGTTAAATGTAGAGGCAGAAAGGTCTCTGTGAGTTCAAGGCCAGCATAGGCTACAAAGTGAATTCCAGGGCAGTCAGGGCTATTACACAGAGAAACCCTGTCTTGAAAAACCACTAACTAACTAACTAACTAACTAACTAACTAAATAAATAAATAAATAAATAGTGTAATGATTTCCCCTCCCCCCTTTTTGGGTGCAGTGAACTTTATTGGTGGTATTCAATAGAGTAGGGCTCCCTAAGC